CATTTGTGGAGGAGACCAAAGATATATTTTGACATTTCATCACAATACAATTATTTCTGGAGAATATGCATGTTCATTTTCGGTGGCATGGATGAAACAAAGGAGGGGAGTCCAAAGTTAATCTAGGTGTAGTTCTACATATTTATGATTTGTTTCATTTTTCTACTCAACAAGAAAGCACTTTGGAGTCACACAAGCTTGGGTTTCAATTTGAGCTCAGCTCGGCTACTTTCTAGGTATGTGACCTCTAGCTGTTACTTAACCTCTTCAAGCTCCAATACCCTCATGTAAAAAAATGAAGCAAATAATATCTACTTCAGGGAGGATTGCATGAAACATGACTGGTAGTATATAAAGTGTTTAATACTGAAGTTATTTGTTAAATATCTGCACCTTTGTAGTAAGATTTCAGAGCGCCAACTTGCTATTTTTCTTCTTTCCTTGTCTTTACCACCACTGATGACTCCCAACTACTGAAACTAGAACCCAAACTCCCCATTTTAGATTACATCCTTTGGCAAAAGAATGCCCTGCTTTAAAATCCGAAGACCACTGAAAAAACACAAACAAAAAGTTTGTCAGTCATTTGTACCTCCGTGGACACGTTTATTAAATCCTTGATCGACAGTATATTTTAGTGGGTGCAGAAAATCTAGGAAAGCACTGAATTGATTTGGAATGATGGCAAAAATTCATTATTCATTCTGAGAAGGGAAGCAGGTGAAAAGGAGAACCTGGAAATGCAGACAAACTTTATCATCATTATGGTTATTTCCTGTGGTCTATCTTAGAGAGTTTGCAAAATGGGGGTGGGGCAGAGAAAAATCTGTTCAATATTCAACAAGTTATGACTTTCTAGAATGCCAAGAGGGTGAAATATAAAAGCTTTTATTAAAATCCTGGAAGTCATAATACATTTTTATTTAGACATAAACCTTTATTCCCAGAGCTCTTGGGACCTGGCAGTCACATTACAATTCAACCTCGATTTATCTTTACAAGTGTGTCACTAAAGTGTGTAGGAAGTAGGTATAGCTCTATTATCTTCAGATTACAAATACAAAAATGAAAGTAGACACAGATAAAGCAATGGCCTAGCTACAGTAGGTGGCTGAGCAGGGAACAGAATCAATCATGTGACTGATACTTCTCCTAGCAGATAAGTGCAATGGTGTCCCACCCCAGTTGGGACCTGCCTTTTTTCTGAACCCTTAATGTCTGATGATGGAAGGCTGGGAAGATGGAGCTCCTCTTCAGAGAAATAATAATAAATAGAACAGTCTCTGGGAAGTCTGTGGATTTGGTGTTCATTAGCTGAACACGGACCTAAAGTTAGTCTAAAGCTCAGAGAAGCTTCTTAATATATACTTTTTAAATTTTTTGTTTTTTCAGTTGTAGTTGGACACAACACCTTTATTTTATTTACTTATATGTGGTGCTGAAGCTCAAACCCAGCACCTCACATGTACTAGGCAAGGGCTCTGCCCTGAGCCACAACCCCAACCCATCCTAGAAGCTTCTTATCCATTAGATCAACATGTGTGTGCTCTAAAGTCTTCAGGATCCTGTCCTCTGAGGCCCCCTCCTCGTACCCTCCTTCAACTAGCTTCAACCCTAGCATTGTTGTTTTCTCCCTCACCATAATTGATTGAACCCAGGGGTGTTCAACTGCTGCTTTCCAGCCCCAGTCATTTTTACTTTTTATTTAGAGACAGGATCTCACCAAGTTGTCCAGACTGAGCTCAAACTTGTGTTGCTCCTGCTTCAGATGCTAGTCCCTTAGATTACAGGCGTGGGTCATCACTTCTGGACAACCCTAGCATTGTTGAGCAAGTTTCTCTACAATTTCGGTACAGCAGAAAGAGCCCAGATTCCACCCTAGCACCTCCACCCAACAAATCAGAATTGCACAGCAGCCACTCCTTAGTGTAGAAGTGAAGCATATATAATTCTGGCACTGAGCCAAATTCTGAGGCAAGACTTTTACTTTGTTTTTCTATATCAGTTATTTTCATTTCAAAGGTCATTGTTTAGAAGAAAGAAAGGGAAAACCTAGCTTGAGTACAAGAATAATGAAGAAATGCTCATTCATTATTTTTGTTTTTAAAAATCTGCTTCTCTGTTTCCAGAGAAAAATAAAATGAGATGGTAGAATAATTGCTGAAACAAAATGTTTAACAGTAAGTAAATGGTCATAATAATTTATTTTAGGCAGAGGTATGAAAAGATAGGTAAAGCCTTAAATCAAAATCTTTCCTATGATGGTAAGAAATTTGAGGTTAGGTTAAAAAAAAAAAAAACAGAACAAACCAAAAGTAGTGACTGTGAATGGCCTTGAGACAAATTCTTCACTCTGACACTCAAAGCAAGCCAAAATTAAGTCCCCTTCTATTTTTACAGGCTCCTTCCCCCTAGTTTCCTAAATGGACTTCACAAAATAATTAAATAGTATAATTTTCTCTCACAAAATATGTTTCACACTTTCTTTTATCCATGCTTTGCTACAATGTCCCCACTGCTTTGAATGTACTTCCTCTTCATCCCAATTAATAATAAGAAGAGATTAAATTCACTAGAAAGGTATAACATTTCTAAACTTATCTGGGGCTGGGTGTGTAACTCAGTGGTAGAATACATGCTTAGCATGTGCAAGGCGCTGGGTTCAACCCCCAGCACCCCCCCAAAAAAAATACACACACACACACACACAAACATACACACACACCCTTAATAACATGGTCTCAAGAAATGTAGAGCAAAAATTTATCAGAATTACAAAGAGAAACATGAAAATCCACAATAAAAGGGAGAGAATTTTAATACAACTCTCAGTAACCAATAGAATAAAGAAATGAGTAAGAACACAGAAAATTTGAATAACATGATAGCAAAACCTGACCTTTTCCAGTATACATAAAACATTTACAAAAATTGGCCTCCGAAGAAGTTAGAAAAAGATCGGGAGATTATATTACAAAGAATTTTAAACTAAGGAAATGTTAAAGTTAGGTGCAGGAATTGTGGTCTCTCATTTTTGCTGTGTTTCTATTGTTGTTTATCAAATCTTTCAAAATACAAAAACCATTCCTAGTGTACTGGTTCCCCCCAAAATGGACCATGGGCCAGGTTTGGCCAGAAGACTATAGTTCACCAACTCATGCTTTAGATCACAAAGATGTTAAAATGATCATAAGAAGATATTTATAAAAAGCTTCATATCAATAAATTTAAAATTTAGATGACACAAAGACACAAGTTACCCAAACTAACACAAGAATAGAAAAATATAAATGGTCTATTAAAGAAACTGGATTCTCAATTTAATTCCTTCCCACAGAGAAAACGACAGGCCCAGATGGCTCTGCTGGTGAATTCAACCAAACGTTTAAACAGACTTTCTAGAGAATAACAAATGAGGGACTATTTCTCATCTTTTTTGAGGGAGCTTCATAACCTTTATATCAAAACATGACAAAAACATTATGAGAAAGATAAAGTATAAGCCAAGATCACCCAGAACACAGACTGAAAACAAAATCCTAACAAAATCCTAACAAATCAAATTTAGTAAAGTATAAAAATTTGAGTTCATTCCAGGAATGCAAGACAGGGTAGAAATAAAAAAAAAAATCAATCAATCAATGCAATTTGTCACATGAATAAAACGAAAATGTCTTATTCTTATGATCATCTAAATAAATGGAGAAAGTACTATGGTAAAATTCAAGGTCTACTCATAATAAAAAGTCTTAACAAACTAGGAATAGAAGAGAATTTCTTTATTTTGATAAAGAATATCAACAGGAAACATACAGCAAGCACTATGCTTAGTGTAAAATGGTGAAAGCTTTCCTACTGAGATTTGGAACAAGACAAGCCTGTCAATCAGTGCTTCTATTCAACATCGAATTGAAGGTCTCAGACAGTACAGAAAGGGAGCCCAGGTAGTACAGGAAAAGAAAAGAAGTCGGGAATGGGGAAAAGATTGGAGAGGAAGAAAGAAAAACTTAAAACCCAAATAATATTAGTGTGTTCACAGATATTCTAAAAGAATGGCATGTAATTAGCATTAATAAGCGAATTCAGAAATTTTGCCACATACAGTACACAAATGCATTTCTTTTCCTATCCTAGGACAGGAAGGATATTGTCTGTTACCTTCTGAAAGTTCCAGATGTGTTTCTTTAAACCAGCAATAATCAAAAATAAAAATTTCAAGTTATCCCGTTTAAAATAAGATAAAAATATCAGACTATCAGCATTAAATCTTTTTTATTTGTTCTTTTTAGATATACATGACATATTTTTACACATTTTTCATATATGGAGTATAACTTATTCTAATTAGGATCCCATTTTTGTGGTTGTACGCTATGTGGAGTTTCACTGGTGTTAGATGGGAATAAGAAAAACAGTAGAATGAATCGGACATAATTTTTCTATATTCATATATGAATACACCACCAGTGAAACTCCATATCAGCTATTAAATCTAACCAAAATATATGAAAGACATTAAAGAAGACCAAACAAAAGGAGAGACATTCCATGTTCAGGAGTTTGAAGACTCAATAACTTAAAGATGCCCATTTTCTTTAAACTGTTCTAATATTCAATGCAATTCCAGCTAAAATCCTAACCCATTTTTAAAAATTAGTTATCTTTGTTTTGTTATTGTTGTAGTTATAGCATTTGAAAAACTTATCCTAAAATGAAAATATAAAATGCAATAGGCTAACCTGATTCTAAAGTGGAAATATATAGAAATTCAATGAACTAAGAGTAGTGAGAACAGTCTTGAAGAAGTAAATGATGAGATAATTTACAGGACACTATAGCCTTAATATGACAGTAGTTAAGAAAGGCTAATTGAGAATTTAAACATGAAAAACAAAACTTTGAAGCTTCTAGAAGTTAAGTTAGGAGAATATCTTCATAACTCAGTAGAAAAGACTTCATAAACAGAACACCAAAAGCATAATCATAAAGAGAATAATTGATAAATTTTATAATATTGAGTTTATTCATACATCAATAAGAGAGAGTAACAAGTAAGCCACAGAGGAGACAATATTTTAACATAAAAACAAGCCTACAGATCAATAATGATAATATTAATAGTAATCAAAGTTAAATTGGATAAATGATTTATAGGTGTATGCTGGTAGCAGGCCCGCCCTGGCCCCTGGGGACTCAACCCCCAGTTCTTTGTTATGCATGTCAATGTGGCCAGCTCACAAGGCTGTGACACGGGCTTGCGGTTCCCTGTTTATCTGCCTAGAGCATATGTGTCTCTCGGGAACAGCTTGACCTGTTCGAGCCTCCTGATAGGGTACGGTGACATGACGGTAACCCAAGGACGCAGTTATTACTCTTTCCTCCTCACTTTTGAGTGATTTCCCGCAGCTGTTAAAAAGATATATAAGGGGAACAAATTTGGCAATAAAGCGCGCGCACGCTCCCTCCTGGATGAAGAACCTTGGTGTCCTGTGTATTTTTAACCCCGCAGTCCCTCGCCGGACTCGGCTCCGTTAGCCGGACGTGGCAGGTGTATTTATACAATGGAAGATTATAAAGCAGTGAAAATGAAAAACTACAATTACAACCAAAATCTGGATAAATTTCACAACTATGTTGGGCAAAAGAAGCCAGTTATAAAAGAATTCATACAATATAATTCCATTTATTACAAAATTTAAAACAGACAAAACATAATTATAAATACAAATGCCTAGTAATAAAACTCTAAGGTAAGCAAGGAAGGAGGTGATTATAGTAGTAGACAAGGGGAAATGGGGGGAAAATGAGGGGCTTCTCAGGAGCCGACAAGGTCTTTTATTTTTTTTGTTTTTGTTTTTAAGACAGAATCTCACCAAATTGATCAGGCTGACCTTGAACTTTCAATCCTCCTTTCTGAGCCTCCTTAGTAGTTGGGATTAGAGGTGTACACTGAGGTACCCAGCTAAATGATTTTTTTTTTTTTTACCGCAATGTGAGACCAGGTCTCACTCTATTGCCCAGGCTGCCTAAAGCTCCTGGGCTCAAGAGATCCTCCCGTTTCATCCTCTTGAGTTGCTGGGACTAAAGGTATGTGCCACCATGCCTGGCAAAACTTTTCTTGGGCTGGGGATGTAGCTCAGTGGTAGAGGGCTCCCCTCACATGCAGGAGGCCCTGGGTTCAATCCTCAGCACCATATAAAAATAAAATAAAGGTATCGTGTCCATCTACAACTAAAAAAAAAATTAAAAAAAAAAAAAAACAACAAACTTTGTTTCTTGACCTGGGTGGTGATTACAAGAGTGTTTTCCTTAGGCCACATGTTTTTGTTTTGTATATTTTTGGTATATTTTAATTTCACATTTTCAAAGCTTAAAAAAAATTATAAACCTTCAACACCAATCCATTGGTGGTGTCCAAATACAATGCTATTATAGCAAATGGTCTATTAAATTCATTGAACATCGGGCCTTAAATCATCTTATGTTAAAGCCCAACATCGCAATCCTTACGGATGCTATCATCTCACTGACTCAAATGAAAGACTAGAATTTTCTTTCTATTCAAGGTGAATTGTAAGGATTTAGAGAGGAGAAAGAACAACAAACATTTCAAACCACATGTAGTTTTAATTAAAACTTGCCTAGGAGAAAAAAAAAATTATCAGCAGCTATTTATGTATCCTTTGAGGCCTTCATGGGAGCACTCTGCTTTCCTCTGGAGAATTGTCAATGTGCACACACAGTCAAAACCAGGAGAGATACAGCAGCAGAGCTCCTAGCCCCAGGTGGCAGCCCACACAAGGGGAGCAATGGAGCCCCTGAGTTATCACCACCACTAAGCCTCCTGCTGTCCTCAACAATCATTTAACATATTGACTTTGGCAACCTTTCCCTCCCTTGTCATTCCAATTAAGTTATTAAAATTAAAGTAGAAGTGCTTACAGCTAACAGATGTAGCAGAAGTTCTTAAAAAGGGGCTGAATCTGTGTACACTGACTTCTTAGCAGGATACATTCTTTCCCAGTTTTTTAACCTAAAAAAAAAAAAGAAAAAGAAAGAAAGAAAAGAAAAGCTAAAGGTCTAGTTTATATATATATATATATATATATATATATATATATATATTTGTAGCTACATTGATTCCCTCAATTTTCACTTCAAATGAATGCTTACCCTCTCAAGGTTTCAAAAAAAAAAAAAGACTGTCTGATAAAAGAAAATAAAATCTTATTCTACACAAAAATCCTCTCTACTCACCTTCACCCTTCACCAACCAAACTTCCGCTTTTCCTTGATCAAAATCTCAAAATTATCTGTAGACAAGCACACATACCTAGAGCAAAATAAATCAAGTGGAAATTTTAATGCACTCAGTACAACTGAACTAAAAGTCACTTATTTTATGAATAAGAAAAGGGAACCACCTTTCTCATGCTAGAATGTACTGGCTTCTTGAATAAAGTTCAGTGGTCAAGGATGGGGGAAATGATGTATTACTGATAGCAGTAAAGACAGAATTTTAAAATTCCTGTTAAATACTTGAGAATCTTTTAATGAAGATATTTTTCAGACTAGAGCTAATTCCCGAGGGGAAACCATTTGAAATGACATAGTTTGAGACATTTAAATTATAGTGGAATAAAGTACTCAAACCCACCATGAAGTAATACTCTTTGTAGAACTCATGGGAAAATTACTGAGATTCATAATAGGCCTTTTCTATGAGGAAATAAGCCTAGGAGGCAGAAATGCTGTCGAATAAATGTTATTTTAAATGGATTGTGGCTGTATAGTAACCTAGTTCCTTCTTTAATGGAGAAGAGCATGAATGGGAAGGTTAGCTAAAAATTAATAGGGTTTTCTTTTTTTCTAAACAGTACACTTCTTCACAAAGCCTACCTAATTACATGAGTTTTTCCTTGAGAACCACATGCTTCCATACTCGTTTTCTTTTAACTATTTTTTTAAATGCTATCTACCCCCAGGACCTCCAACCCCCTCTCTAACAAATCAGCATGTAACAGAGAAGAAAAGTTCTGAACTATCACTGCTTTGAATTTCAAATGTTTAAATTTAATTCAGCCTTTTCCAGGTAAAATGAATTTGACGTGACCCTCCAAGGCTTTCCCACTGCGGGGTTGACCCAGTACACCCCTAATTAAGCATAAAGAGCGCCACAAAGAACAAACCACTTATTTGGAATCAAGCTCTTATAAGTTAGAAAAACTACCTTTTAGAGAACCTTCATTTAAAAGGACAATTACCATATTCTGTAAGCCTATTGATTTTTTCTTTATTGTTGAGATGAAGAATGTAAACAGAATTGCATATTTACTCATTTCATTTTCTGATTCCTTTGCTCCAAGACTCGACAATCTGTCCTTCATGTATGAAAGGCTGCTATTTCCAGAGCTGGTTCATGAGGGTGACTGATGAATGACAAGACAAAACTCTTATTAATGTGCCACAATTAGGAGTTCCTTTACTTCAAGAGCTTTTTATAAGTTCATAGTTTTGACCCCACTACCTTCTTTTCCCTTTGGTAATTGCTGGTGTTTGACAGCCACTGTGTTGGCTGCCTGTAACATATGGCTAATTGAATTAGAGTTGGGGAAAGAATTAGCAAATTCCTAATTATAATCCACTCACAGATCTGAAGCCTGAATAAGGAGGATACAAGGAAAAGGTTGCTGAGCTTAGAAAACATAACATTGTATGATGATTGTTGTCAGATGCAAATATTTCTAAAATGCCTGAATATAATTTATTTGCAAGAGATAGAGATTTGCCTTTGTGTATTGGTCAGTTTTTCATTGCTGTGACCAAAATACCTGACAAGAACAATTTAGAGGAGGACATTTAGTATGGACTACTAGCTTCAGAGGTTCAGTCCAAGATCAGCCAACTCCATAGATCTTAGCCAGAGGTAAGGCAAAATATTATAGTGTAAAGGCATTGAAGAGGAAAGCTGCTTAGCCCATGGCTACCATGAAGCAGAGAAAGAGAGAGTGAGAGAGAGACAGAGAAGCCAGGAACAAAATATAACCCCCAGGGCTTACCTACAATGACCTACCTTCTCTAGCCACACCTCACCTGCCTAAAGTTACCACCTAGTCATCCATTCAAGTTATTAATCCATCAAAAGGATTCATCCACTAATTAAATTACAGTTCTCATAATCTGATCATTTCACCTCTAAACATTCCTACATTGTCTAATATGAGCTTTTGGGGGAGACACTTCATATCCAAACAATAACATTTTGTCTATATGATTTTTGTAAGTCTGGGCACTGCACACCTGGAATTCACAAAATCATACATTGATTCATATTTGCAATTCTAATAAGGCAATGTTCTATTTTCACCTTGTAGATTCCTTTCCATCCCCATCACTCCAGTTATGAAGATACACGTATATATTTTTAAATGTGTATTTTAATTTCACATGAATTTTTCTACACACACTTCCTTGGAATTGCCTTACCTGTAGTAAACAAAATGTCCCAAGAATATTCATTTATCAAATATTGCCATGCACATTTATTTAACAGTGCAAGATATAGTACTAGGTATCAAAAAGGTATACAGATGATGAGATACAACTTTCTCAATTTTTTTTTTCATTGCTTGGTCAGGAAGCAAGATGAACAATAGAAGTATAATGTGACAAAGGTCATGGTGTATACATATGGAGACTATGACTTGATAAATGCTCCCCACTAGACTATAAATGCTATGAATGAAACCTAGCACCATGACACACAATAAGTGTTCAACAAATACTAGTTGTGAATTAATAAAGGAATAAATGAATATGATATACAGTAATATTAGGCTTAGGCAGGTCACTTCTGATTGTGGGATTCTAAAGAAGCTATTTTGAGGAAATAAAGTTTTGGGGCTGGGGTTGTAGCTCAGCGGTAGAGCGCTTGCCTCACAGGTGGGAGACCCTGGGTTCGATCCTCAGATAAAAATAAATAAACAAAATAAAGATATTGTGCCCATGTATAGCTAAAAATATTATAAATATTATATATATATATATATATATATATATATATATATATATATATATAAAGAAATAAAGTTTTGGTTTAAGTCTTAAATGAATAGATAAGATCTGATGGGGGTCACTCTTTATTGACATGGCTCAAGCATAGGAAAAAAGTAAGATACAGTTAGGTAGCACAGGTAATCAATCAACTTTGTTTAAGAAAGTTACATTTACTAATTCACATTTTTATAACATGTTATGAATTTTAGACATGAAAAGAGAGTAGTGAGAGATAGGACTAGAAGAGGTATACTGAGAACAGATCTTGAATAACCCTGATTACAGGTGAATGATTATGAAAAAAAAAAAAAATGATGATCCATGGGCTGATTCAAACCTTAGACAGGAAATGTCTTCTCTGAAATTTCTCAATAACTCATGGACTCCTGGAGTTAACATGTTACAGTGGCAAAGATATAGTGTGTTTCTCCTTAGAATCCACTTCAGGTTCAAGCTGGAAGACAGGAGAAGCAAGAAACTCTGTTGGGAATAGACATACACATTAGAAAATTCATTCACTCTCCTTTTTTCTCTTTGGCAGCTTGTCAGCTATGCCTAAACATAATTCAGGACTTTAAGAGATGATATCTGTGGTGTCTTTATCTGTTACCAATCATTTGTGTATGTGTGTTTGTAGTACTGAAGATAGAACCCAAGACCTCGTGCATGGTAGATAAGTACTCTACCATTGAGCTACATCCCCAGCTCTCTTTTAAAATCCTTATTTTGAGACAGGGTCTTGATAAATCACCCAGACTTTCTTCAAACTAGAGATCCTCCTGCCTCAGCTTCCGGTGTAGCTAGAATTATAGGCATGTGCCACTGTGCCCAGCTCAAAATTATAGGTATTTTGGTTTGTTTTCCAAGGTGTTGGAGGTTGAACTAAGGGCCTCACATGTGCTAAGCAACTGTTCTACCACTGAGCTACATATACCTCCAATCTACCAGTTATATTTTTATTATAAGAATGGAACAGAGGAAGAAAGTAAATAATTAATTTGAAGCCTAAGTTGTGCTGAGAATGCAAACAGTTTCTTCAGAATTTTGACAAAGACTACCGACTCTACACCAACAGTTCTTCCCCAGTAGAATATTAACATTGGAAAACTGAATATTTTTCTTAGGAAACATGAACACTTTGAGAGTTCCAAGAATAAAGTATAAACTTCCATCTTCCATTGCTAAAATAGTTATGTGAGTAATTTCTGGTCAATAATATGCTCTATAGTATGGATCCAGAATGTCCCTCAGAGGCCTTTTCCTCAACTTGCGCTATTGGAAGGTGCTAGAAATCTTTAAGAGATGGGACCTAGTGGGAGGTTTTAGGTCATTGAGGGTGTGCGCTCAAAGGAGATTGTGGGGCACTGGTCTCTTTCCTCTTCTCTCTTTCACTTCTTGCAATGAGGTGAAAAGTTTTGCTCTACCTTGTGCCCCCTGCCATGATGGGCTGCCCCACCACAGGTCAAAAGCGACAGGGCCAATCAATTATGGACTGGAACTCAGAAACAATAAGCCAAAATAAAAATAAAGGTGTTTCTCTCTCTCTCTCTCTCTCTCTCTCTCTCTCTCTCTCTCTCTCTTATTTTTTAGTTGTAGTTGGACACAATACCTTTATTTTATTTATTTATTTTTATGTGGTGCTGACAATTCAACCCTCGAACGTGGGAGGCCAGCACTCTAAGCTGAGCCACAACCCCAGCTCCATGTTTTCTTTTTTTTATTCCAGGTATTTGTTATAGGGATGAAAAGCTGACTAAGTAAAGATGTAAACAAAAGAATTGTGTGAAACTCTGAGGAGAAGAAAGTAACTTTCTTCATTCCATTACTGTCTGAAATGTGAACCTGATTGCTAGAATTTGACTAGCTATCTTGGATCAGGAGTGGCTTGGAAATAAGATCAGAACTAAATGAAAACACTGGGTTCTTGAAGATTATGAAGATACCATTGCTACTTTAGATTTCTTTCCTGTGAACTTCATTTATAGGCATGAGATAAAATGCTACATTTTTAAAACTACTCTTATCTTGAGTTTTCTATAGTTTGCAATTGGTTATAAACTTAAGCAATATGAAGTTTTAAGAAATTTAAATTTTTAATTTTTTTAAGGAATGAAAGCAATATACAAGCATCTTCTAGTAGATTACATTGTTGCTAAAGAAATACTAACTCTTCCCCTTTCCATGGGAAGAATATGCTTCCATACCATATTTTTTAAAAATATTTTTTTAGTTTTAGATGGACACAATACCTTTATCTTATTTATTTATTTTTTTATGGTGCTGACAATTCAACCCAGTGCCTCACGGGTGCTAGGCAACTGCCCTACCGCTGAGCTATAACCCCAGCCCTCCATATCATCTTGATGTTGGATGTGGCCATGTGACTTGCTTTAGTCAGTAAGATGCTAATAGACCTGACATGAGCAAAGTTAAGAACTGTCCTGGTATAGTTTGGCTTACCCTTTTGCTCTCTTCATTGCCTTGAGAAAAGTATGTGCAGGATAGCCAGTACCCCTTGGACCAAGCCCAGGAATATTCATGGAGAGGAGACGCAAGCCCAAACCTTAGGCAGAGCATGAAGTAGCTGAACTCCAACTGACAAAGAAATGAGTAAACAAGAAATAAATATTTGTTGTTTTATGCCACTAAATTTTGTGACTGTCATCCAGAATTAGTTGAGTATTGCATATTGTTTCCTGTGAACTCTTTTCAAATCTGTTAGAATTGTATATATTGAGAACAACAGGTCATGTTTTTTTAAAAAAAATTTTTTAGTTATCAATGGACCTTTATTTTTTTTTTTAATTTTATTTATTTATCTATGGTACTGAGAATCAAACCCAGTGCCTCTCACATGCTAGGCAAATACTCTAATACTAAGCTACAACCCCAGCCCAGTCAATGTTTTTCGAGAACCCCCAAATCATCATTCAGTTCACTAAACACCAAACCAGCAGATCACCAACCTTTTAGTATCAATAAAGTGACTTGAAATAAATACTTAATTCATGTTTGCACTATAATATGCCCCATGTATGGTCAAAATTGAGTTCTATGTAATGGAAAGTTCCTATGTGCAATGGCTTTTACAATTGAGATCGTTTCAAATAGAACTCACAGACTCAACTTTTCTGCAAATATGAAATAAAGCAAACAATGCCTTTGCTATGAACATCAAAGAGTTTGAAACTTTCCTCTTGTATTTATAAACTTGGAGAAAGGAATATCCTCACATCATTTATTCCTTATTTTCCTCATTCATCACAACTGACAGGCCAATCATTTTTGTTGAAAACATTAATATATGACAATAAAAGACATACAAATGATTGGAAGATAGGAAATTCTTCTTGAAAGATTTTTTAGTATAATTATTTTGTCTATAAAGCATTCCTGCCTCCCGCCCAGAATCCAATGTTTCTATTCTCCTTGGAGGATATTTGCCAAACTACCTGAGGAAGTTGTCTTCTCCTGAGTTTCCTAAATAAAAACTCTTCTTTAGTTATTCAAATCTCCTCCTACCTCTCCCCCACCACCATCACTACCCACATGTAGACAGAATTTTCTAGCCCTGCCTACCAACAGCGGTCCCAGGCACCTGGCTGTGGCCCACAGGGCTAACACCCTTCTAAAGACCTTTCTACAAGCTCTCCCCTGGCTTCTTGGGGTTTCCTGAAGTCTTTAGATTGTCATCCATACAGAGATTAAGCTAGTGACTCTCTATGCGTCTCACTCCCCTCTTCTAAAACTTCACTAAACTCCTTCCCTTTCCTTAAAAACAAACAAACAAACAAAAAAAACAGCTCACTAATATGTCTAGTGACTGGATGTTAGTTAAGCCATTCTTTCTGCATGGTTTCTTATCAGTGAGTAGTTGGCTTCTTTACATGGGGTCAGGACTTTCCAAGAAGGAAAGGCGTGAGCTCCAAGGCACAGTATAACTTCAGCAACATTCTTTTAGTCAAAGCAAGTCACAAGGCACAATCATAGTCAAAGGATGGAAAATAGACTTCATTTCTTGATGGAAAGAGCTGCAAAATATTGATGAAGAACTCTGGAGTCCTTATTTTTATATTTACAACATTTTATTTCAAAATGGTGTTCTATCTTGTCATAGAACATAGAAGTATCTTGCAAAACAATCACATTGAAAATTTAAATATTTTTATTACCACAACAGCGGTCTTTATGGTAAATAATCATTAAAAAAAAACATTGCATTTGTTTTCATTTCTTTACCAACACTTTAATCTGTAGCTGTTATTCACTGGACCCTGAAATGCCAAACAAATATAAACTTGTATCGTGATGACTTTGAGCAGAATTTTCTGTATATTGCTTTCATTTTGCATATCACTGCCAGTTTGGTCGATAAAAATTTGAAGATGCATTGAGTACTTTATAGTAAGACTCATTTTTTTCTTAGTTGGATCAATACAGTGTCTATCCTAAAATGCAAGCCTAATCGATATTATAATTTCCATCTTCACATTTGCTTTTTAAATATTCTGCTTTTAACTGGCAATCCATTTCTAGTTTCAGAGGTAATTTTTCTACTTCATCTAAAATGCATACGTGTGTGTGTGTGTTTATAAAGTTATACACAAAAAAGCCAAAATGTGTAACAACTTTATCACAAAATCAGAAAACCCAGGGAACCTCTACCTCAGAGTTATACCCCCAGCCCTTTTTGTTTTGTTTTGAGACAGAATCTCACTATGTTGCTCAGGCTGGCCTTGAATTTGCAATCCTCCAGTCTCAGTCCCTCAATTCACCAGAATTATGAGTGTGCACCACTGCACCTGGAAAATTGAAATTTTTAATAGTAATATTTTATATATATGCATATATATGTATATACATATATACATATACCTTTTAGCCAGGCACGCATTGCACATTCCTTTAATCCCAGTGACTTGGGAAGCTGAGGCTAGAGGATCTCAAGTTCAAGGCCAGCCTCAGCAACTCAGTGAGATACTGTATCAAAATAATAAATAAAATAAGAAGGGCTGGGTTGTAGCTCAGTGGTAAAACACCCTAGGGTTCAATCTCCAGTACAAAAAATATATATATTATATATCTATCTAGAATTGTATTATTCTTACATAGCCATTATAGGGGCAAATATACACATGGAATGCTTTATTCCAAGGATTACACACGAAAATAGAGATTGATACAATAGTATATGAGTGGTTACATATATATTAAAATTTGGGATTTAACATCTTAATTTTAAATCTGTGCTGCACAACACTAGAACTTAATCTGTATCTGTATATATATATATATATATATATATATATAGAGAGAGAGAGAGAGAGAGAGCGCTCATGTATATATCTTTTAAAAGTGAAAGTTGAATAAAATGTTCTTAGAATGCCTGTAGCAGTTTAAAAACCCCTATATTATAGAAATATGTTATAATTATACAACAAATTATACAAAAAATTTTGCCCAGTGATTAAGGAGCCAGGACTAAAATTCATGTCCTGAGATTCCCAGTCCATTATCTTACTATACTTTACTGTATGTTTGTGTGTGTGTGTGTTGTTGTTGTTGTTGTTGTTTCTGTTTCCCCCCAGTACTAGAGATTAAACCCAGGGGCACTCTACCATTGAGCTACTTCCCTAGACCTTTTTATTTCCTTATTTTGATGCAAGATTTTGCTAAGTTGCTGTGGCTGGCCTTGAACTAATATGTGGAATCAGGTATTCATCAATGATGAATGGATAAGGAAAATGTTGTATATATACACTATGGAATATTGTTCAGCCATTAAAAGAGTGAAACCCTGTCATCTGAGGCAAAATGAGTAAAACTAGAAAACATTATGTTAAAAAAAAAAAAAAAGCCAGGAAGACAAATACTGCATGTTCTTTCTCAAATGTGAGAGCTAAAAAAGTTAATCACCAAATAGAAAAGAATAGTAAACAATAGAAGCTAGGAAAAGAATGGGGAAGGAGCATCAAGGGAGATTGGATAGTAGGTACTAAAACACAGTTACATAGAAGGAATAAGTTCTAGTGTTATACAGCACAACAAGTGGCTACCATTCACAGTAACTTATTTTATGTTTCATGAAGAACCAGAAGAGAGGAGCTCAACATTTCTGAACATAAAAAAAAAAAAAAAAAAATGATTAGGGGCTGGGGTTGTGGCTCAGCAGTGGAGTGCTTGCCTAGCAAGTGTGGGACCCTGGGTCCGATCCTCAGCACCACATAAAAATAAATAAATAAATAAATAAAGTGAAGATATTCTGTCCATCTACAACTAAAAAAGTATTTAAAAAAATGATTAGGAGAGGTTTTCAAGATGGTGGAATAGAGCAGGTCACTTTCCTGGCTGCTCTGTGGTGTGAAACCAAGAAAACAGACAGCTTCTCAGCAAGGTGAGTGAATGAAGAAAATGGGGGGATGGAGGGGATTGGACTTTAATACTGGATACTCAAATTAGATCAGGGACTCAGGAGAAGAAATAAGGAAGAAATGTCCAGCACCACAGTCGCTGCTATGGTCAGAGGCACAAGCCAGATTGGTCCCTTTGTGAGCACAGAGGAGGGATAAGGGAATTAAAGGCACTTGCATTTTTAGGAGAACTGAGGCATGTTTGGGTAAAGCAAGTTTAGCGATCAAAGACACTGCCCAACTCAACTGAAAGGCATGCTGCACAATATCCTCATGGGGTTGGGGTGGGGGAACTGCATGTCTCCTAGAAGGAACCATTTTGCAGTTGCAGCAGAGGGACCACCAGGTGAGGGAGCCAATTCCTGGCACACCTGAGTCTGGTATGAAATACAGGCCTGGCAAACACACACTGCATGACACAGAGTGTGCTTAAGTGGCCAGGAGAAAATTAAATGTGGACAGAGGTTTACACAGGGGACATCTGGTTGAGGAAACCACCTGACTCTCCCTCCCCCGCAAATCTGGCTGCTTGCAGGACCTGCTGGGAGAGACGCCGTCCAACCAGGAATTTGAAAGGCAGGGGCAGGAGAGACTGAGTTTGGAGACTGAACCCAAGACCAGGAAACTTAAGGTCCATGGTGACATAGTGGACTAAGAATTGGCTCCTTCACCACATGAATAGAACCCAGGGGGATCATGGAGTGCAGTCTTCCAGCATGGACCAGCAATTTCTGGCCACTGGAGGTGCATTGATTTAGAATCTCCAGACCAATTGGCATACAGTGAAGATATTTCATGAGGAAGAAATGAAAAATAAAAGTGAAAACAAGCAAAGGGTGGAACTACACTAGAAGAATAGGCAATCAAAGGAGAAACTAATTCAAATTAAAAACCAGAAATAAATAAAAACTACAGGAAATAAAAATCATATCTCAAGGACTGACGTTGTGGCTCAGTGGCAAAGTGCTTGCCCTGCACATGTGAGACACGGGGTTGTATTCCTCAGCACCACATAAAAATAAACAAAATAAAGATATTTTAAAAATCATATATCAATAATAACATTGAATGTAAATGGTCTAAACTCATCAATCAAAAAACACAGACTGGCAGATTGGATTAAAAAACAAGATCCAAAAATATGCTTTTTCCAAGAGACTCACCACATAGGCAAAGCCATCCATA